AACAGGTGAAGGCATACATATTGAGAGAAGAAATAATATCACTAATAATAAGTCTGGATAGTATAAATGGAAAATTCGATAGTTTTGGGAGAATGTTTGCATGAAGGGTATACATTTTGACGAATAGTAATAATAATTGTAATGATAAGCAAAGAAAGAAAAAATCAAGAGGGTTAAAGGGGAAGAAGCACTCGGTGGCACAGTGGTTAGGACTCTCACCGACCATGCACATGGTCCGAGGTCCGATCCCCCGCCGCGACGCACACCTGATATCTATGGTCGGCCTGCAAAATTTGGCCTACCGATATCGCATGATGAAAATTCCATACTTGTACGAAAAATATAGTGTGGAATCAAGCTGTAATAAAAAAAATAAAAATAAAAAAAGAAGCACTCTCGATGAGAAGAATCATCAATCCAAGTTTGGCAACGGTGGGAACAGCATCTGGAGATGTTCATTTAGGATACAACGTACCGGTTGAGTTGATCTTATTGCAGCAGCTTCAGCTACGTTTAGGAGAAATAAGCGAACTGTACGTGATAACGACTTACGAATTCGGTGTATAACTCTGAAGGCTGTGTTGGCGTCAATGCGGTGTCCAGTATCGACCAAGTCTGAAACTTGGCATGCGGGTCACAAAGAACAGGTATTTCCAACCAGTTTGCAAGCCTTTATCAACCAACAACTGTCTTCGCTCTATACTGAAGATCAGATGGCCGGGCCGGAAAGGATCACCAACAAGAGACTATGTCTGGGAACAAACAAAACAAGAACTAATCTCCAACCAACAAATATGCAGGAGAAAGTGGAGATGGATTGGACACTCACTCGCTGAGGAGGCCGGCCACTGGGTGACATCGCTCGAGTTGAACCCGAAAGGGAAGAGGCGAGTGGGACGTCAGTGCAAGAGTGACATGGAGGAGATCGTGCGAAGGGGAGTTGAAAGAGTGTGGACTAACATGGATGCAGGTGAAAAGTACAGCAGCAGAAGACAGAAGCAAGTGGAGACGTGCAGTTGAAGCCCTATCTTCTACTAGGAACTCAAGGGAACAACAATAATATAATATAATCTATGTCATCAGTTTATAACCAATCTACCGCACCTAGCGTTGATCTCAACTGCTACGATTTATGTGCTCTATGATGGATAAAACAAGCAGAAAAAGGAACTAATTACATCTATTATCTGAAAGCGTTACTATGTAGAGATTTGATTTCTTTAAAGTTTAATCACGGACAGATATCAGTTAGAGAACCATTGAAAAGCAAAGAGTACTGGACAGCCATTTCACTTCAGATCGGCACCCTTTAGCAGTACGCACCACCTATGACCCCACCGAAGATTAAACTCAAAACCTTCAGGTTACGAGGTGAAACTCGATAGCCATTCACCCATTAGGACGGAACCCAAAGCCTCATCAAATCTACCTCCTATCAATTCACGATCTCAGTGCAACCGTCAGCAAATGTCATCATCGGTGAGCACTTGTCCCCACACACCAAAAATGGCGGAGATCCCATTGATTACAACTTCTCACTAACTAGAACTCCAGGCAACTTCGACCTGCAATGGCTACCAGATTCGTTTTCAGGTGTTGATTTGCAGGGATATAATTTGTGTCATGTTTGATCACAGACTGGTATATCAATTACAGAACGACTAAAAACAAGCATAGAATACTAGGCAACTATCTTGTCCCCCCTGTTTGGGACTATTCACATCAGTACACACCCACTGCCCAACAACACAAATTATTATCATTCCAGTTCAGAGTTTGTTTTAAAGCAATGACAGAAATAACTCTTATACAAGATTTTCCCATCGATTGATTGGACTGAAGTGCTCGGTCTCAGGTTGACATGTCGGCTTCTTGCACAGATGCTTCGACGATGTCTGGGCATGTAATTAACATCTAATTGGTGGATACAAAGACTGAGATGGTTAGGACATGTGTTACGTATGCCAAGCCATCGCCTCCCTCAACGAGCAATGTTAGCGGATATATGGTCAGGCTGGAAAAAAGCTAGCGGCGGTCAAACAAAAACTTGGCATCAGTCAATGAAATCCACAACAGTTGGTCTAAGCCACGTAGGAAGGTGTAGACTTCCAGGCTGGGGTCCTCGGGACGGTAAAAATCTATGGTTGGAAACAATTGGTGACATGGCTCAAAACCGTTCTCAGTGGCGCAGATGCATCCACTCCCTGTGACTTATGATCTTCAATGAAACTGTTTTGTATTTCTTTATTACTCCTTTGTCTCACACCTCTGCTCACTGTTTCTATTATGCTTTTCTTGTACTTTCTTCTCTTGCTTCGCGTGCTACACGGAATGTGGCGACTTGAACTTCCGCACATTTGTGCAAAGTTCTATGTCGAAAACAGACAGACAGACAATTGGTGGATAGTGACTTGCTTGTCACGATCCACCGATTAGTATTCAATGAATTCATAAATTTTGGTAGAAGGAGTCGTCAGCTAACTACTCTACAAACATTATTATTTATACAATTCCCTTTTAAGGTTCAATACACACAAACACATGGACACTGTGATAAGAAGGAATCTCTTCGTGAAAATAAATAAATAAGTAAATAAACTTAACGTATACCAACCATACAAGAATAAACATGTCTGATTTCAACTCACTTCAACTCTGTTTACCTACAATTTCTCACTTATTCAACACATCCTATGGTTAAAAAGAAGCTAAGATGCTTCTCGTTTCAGAAGCGAGATCCTTAATCATGCAAGAATTTTTCTTACTCACACTAAATAAAATACCAGCATATGCGCGCGCCTGACATTTGCATAAATTCTACATAAATCACACGCCAATTAATATGAATAATAGTAGACTAAGGCAAAAATACCAATTTGAATTGACGACCTAATTGGATTGTTAAAATACTCGTAACAATATTTTACAAGTGTATAATAACCATTAACTCCAGAAGTGAACAGAAAGTGAAAAATAAAAAAAAACTTGTACTTATTTATTGATTAGGGTTTTAGTGATTCAATTGTTAACCACTTTTTTTATACACAAAACGTTTGCATAAATGTCTGTAGATCACACATACACGCCTACTCTCCTACATGTGACCGATATAAGATAAGAAAAAAAAAGTTTTAAAACTATGTAATATAATTGGTTTCCACTAGTAATCTGAGCTTTTTATTTATATCTGACTGACTATGAATGTTAAATCTTTTAAAAAAGAAAATTAATCTTGTAATGCAATTAGAAGAGAGACGATTCACTGACCCAAAACACAGCAGAATCACTACTGTCTTGCTTCAGGGAGAGAGAGAGAGAGAGAGAAAGTATAATTTTATCTAAGTTTGCAGGTACTCCCCCATATTTTACTGATTTTAAATTCCAATTTTTTTATTGCCTCAGCAATATTCATTTTTTCAAGTATTAGATTGTAGAGATTACATCATGAGCTGATATCGGTTAGATAACCATTGGAAAACCAGGGCGTACTGGACAGCTGTTTCCTCCGTCCTACTTTGGGAATCTCCATCAGTAAGCACCCACCACCAGGATTCGAGCGCAGGGCCTTCTGGTTACAAGGCAAGCTCGTAGACCATTAAGCCACTGGGAACCGATTCAATGGCCCAACCTAAGACTAAACAACTGTCCGGTATCTTCCCTGGTTTTCTACTGGTTCCGTAAACGATGTCGACTCATGATTAAATCCTCCAACCAATCAAACATAATCTCTACAAACCAGTACTTGAAAAATTGATCTGATGCTCACTAACGACTAGCCCTATTTAGGCAGTTACCTGGGGTGATAGTGGGAAGTCGTGACCACTAGGGTACATCAGGTCGAAGGTGAGGTCAGTGAGTCATAGAAGAAGACATTGCAAAATGGTCGCGATATGTTGTGAATTAGCAGAAGTTAGAATTCATGGACTGGCCATTGAATTGGCGGGTCCCAGTGGCTTAATGGTCTAAGAGCTCGCCCTGCCCTTGTAACCAGAAGGCCTTGAGTTTGACGCGTGATGGTGGATGCGTACTGCTTGAGAGTCCCAGACTAGTAGGACGAAGCAACTGTTCAGCACCCCATGGTTTTCCAATAGTTTTGTAATTGATGTCAGCTCGTGATGGAATCCTCCAACCAATATTTATTTTCACAATCATAATGCGCCGGATAGAAAAAGGTAATTCTTGATATATATATATATATATATATATATATATATATATATATAACGAACAAAATTTAGTGTTAAGTCAGTTCTTCTATACGGGTCATAGACTAAGCGCGTCACCAAAAGCATTGCTTCCAGCGGACAGCTGCGGACTTTTATCAATAGCTGCTTTCGCTGGTTCCATAATGAAGATCGGATAGTTGGTCAGAAAGGATTAGGCACAATGAACTCTAACAGTGTGATAAACCATCCAAGAGTTTATTGCCCAACAAATATACCGAAGTAAATGGATATGGATTGGACACACGATAAGGAGACCGTTGAATGACACCATAAGCTATACCTGCCCTTTGACGGAAACTGTGGACGGGAAATGACGAGTTCGGTGTGGTCCGAGAGTGACAGGGAGGAGACCATGTGGGGGATAGATGACAACCTATGGACAGCCAGCCTAACAGAACTGCAGAGAACAGGATAAAACGGAGATGTGTTATTGAAGCTTTATGTTCCATTGGGAACCCCAGGCTAAAGAGTTCGGAAGATTAGAGAAGTATGACATTGAAGTTAAGACGAATGTAGTAAAAATGCAAAGAAAATAAAAAGCACAGCTTGAAAATGCTGATATTTTCCAACAAAACGTGTATAAAACTAAGCATTTAGCATAAGATTTCAAATAAAAATGATTATGTTAGGCGCATAATTGGGATCTACCATAACACCACCTAGATAAACATGTTTCAGAAATACTGAAATTTAAGGCAGTAACAATTATCAAAGTATAATAAATGGAAAGTAACATGCAAAAAAATCAATGATGACCTCTGCATTACAACTTACTTTTCATCTTCAAACAATTTAGTAAATGCTGAGCAATAATTCAAACTGTCCGGCCAATCATCAATAGTATCTCCATCCGTCTCTGTAATTACAGCCAGTGTATTCAAGTATACTTCTAAGAAAAGGTGCAGAACAAAAATAGAATAAGTGTAATGATGGTACACCTTGTTGTCCACGAGACAATCATCATAACAACCGTATTTTAAGTAGGTTTTTCATTCCTTTTGAGTTTCGAGTAGACTATATGGGTTGAATCTTTGTGCTCTGAAGTCTCAGTAGCAATGATGTTGTTTTTATGGGCTGAAATTGCTAGCCTTACAGGCCCAGCCTTTTCTCCTTTTTTCAGGTGTACTGCAGACTGAACGGAGTTTAGGTGTGTGCCAGCCGGGAACCCCCGACCGGTAGCTGATACCTTGACGTGGTGGTCGGGCTTGAACATCGCCATGACCCAAAATGCTCCACAGGCTGGAACAAATGTTCCTGCAGGTCCTGTCATGCCAGGAAGGTTGTTAAAATAGCGATTAAACTAAAAAGCAGTTACCGGGATTGTGCAAGAATCTTTCTTACACTATGCTAGGGGTCTGAGGGAGGAGTCGTACTGCTGGGAAACAGGGGTGTAACACCAGTGAGGTGTAGCCCTCAGATGACCAGCATGCCAGCTATGTTGTCTCTCCACTCCAGAGAGAGCGGGTTAGAAAAGGTCGACCCCAAAAATTGTACATCCCGACTTACCCCACCTACGGTGGTCCGTAACCAGCGGTAAGTTTACTAATACGGAACCGATCCCAGAAACCAATTCATACAGGCGGTGTGTGACCGGCCTGGCTCAAGCAGTAGTCCCCTTGGCTCTGCGGTCACACAACACTAACCCTCTTTCTGTTTCAGGTACCCGGATAATCAATTAACTTCCACTGTGTGGGCAGGCGGGAGGTAGCAACCGCCCACACACTTCCAAAAGCGCACAAAGCCTTCCTGAGAATCATTCTCCTTTCACACCACCTTCCGGTCGGGAACCGGACTGCCCGCATTGAGGTTAACATTTAAAGTGATTAGAGGGTAATTTATATCGCCTAACAGATTCATTTGAAAATCAATTTCATAGACTCATAATTTACTTTTATTTGAATCATACATTACTAGATAAAGCACTGAATTTCTAACCAGTAGATGATAATTTTAAACTCTTGTTCATTAACTCAAATCCACACAAGAACAAAACTCCTTTAGTCCTCAAAGGAAATATATCACTCATCACATAGATAATGAGCGGTACTGTATCAGAGAATACTTACCGCTATCGGTGCTGAACGCAAACGAATTGAGGAAGTTCAAGATTTTCATTAAGATGAAGACTACTCTCCAATCATATGATTTTTAGTTTTTAAACCATTCACTCCTACGATGTTCAGAATCTCAGTTTAAAAGTTTATGCTTCTAAATAATATTGAGGAAATAATTTGTCAAGCTAAACTTTCTCTTAAAATGTAATATTACTCTAAAAGTCAGAGGCTGAATCGGGTGATTGTAAAACTCAACTTATTACCACTTATCTATGAGTGAAGTGAAATTATTACTATGATTATTATTATTTTTAATTCCTAGAGGAACACAAGGCTTCAACCCCAAGTCTCCATTGCGTTCGGTTCTCTGCTAGAGTTTTCACCTGGCTCCAAGTCTGCCCACATGCTTTCATCTTCTCTTCACATGACCTTCTCCAAGTCACCCTGGCATTGACGACCAACTCGCCGCTTCCCTTTCGGGTTCCACTAGAGCGATGGCTTGTCTAGTGATATCACTTGATGATTTCCTCAGAGTATGGCCAATCCATCTCCATTTCTTCCTGCCTATTTGTTGCCCAATCGGTTCCTGCTGAATTGGTTTTCTGGCCAGCCATCTGATCTTGAGTATTGAGCGAAGACAACTGTTAATGAAGGTCTGTAGTTTGTTCAATGTGCTCTTTATGACGCGCCAAGTCTCTGATCCGTATAGTAAGTAACACTGACTTCACATTGGAGTTGGAAATCCGGATCTTATTTTTCATTCTGAGTGGTGTTGACCGCCACACAGACTTGAGAGTAATGAAAGCTTGTCTTGCTTTTCCGAAATATATTACGTAAATAAACTTCATTCTTCACTGAAGTTAGTGTATTGAACAAATTATACCAGTTTTCGTCGTACGTTCTTCCCGAAGATGATGCACAAAGTATTTGATGAATATTGTAGAAAGACGCTTTAAAATCAAAGTATTTGCTCAGAAAGCACCCGGGTGGTCACAACAAGAAACACTAAATACGAGGAACAAAACAGTTAAAGCTGTACGTTTATTCCTAGTTAGTATAATTTCCCAAGATGAATTTTAATAACGAATCGAAATTGGTTTCAATAATCATCACACAAAAAAATCAGTTTGAAATATGTGGCAATTGTTAATCATTGTCATATCGGTAGGTATCTGACCTTACACTCGACTTCATGAACACCAATGACAAGGATCTTTCATGAAAGTTTTGAAATATTTATTTCAAGGTAGATTTTGCCTAAAGCGTTTACCGTAAAACACAACAAATCTAGACTAGTACGACGATCAGTACGAATACAAATCATCGTAATCCTAGACAAAAACACGAAAAAAAGATACGATCTATCAGCTAAAATTTTATGTGATATATAAGTTGAACTCCCACTATCATCACCACATTCAGCAGTTCGCTTGATAGTCGTCCAAAGAAAAACGAAGTTAACTTACATCATTAAAATTTAACATACCATTTTCATATCTTCGCATAGCTCTTGCTCCAAGTCTAATTTCACCGGGATTAGCTTTTACTGTTTTATTCTTTGCAAAACATTTCTTGGGACGGTAAGGATGAACATAGGATAAATCAGACAGGCCACTTTCTGAAGTTGTATCGAAATCGGAATAGTGTGCCAACGGTTGACAAGCTAAAGCTGACCTGAACAAAAACACAAAATAAATTTGTTTACAAAAATAGGGTAAAAGACTATATATATAATCATAGATACATGCAAAGGGCATGGACTCGCATAGTATAGTGACTAATTGACTGATTGGTTTCAACGCAGAAATTTGCACAGATGTGTAGCAGTTCCAGTGGCCACACTCCCTCCATGTATCACACAAAGGAAGAGAAGAGACTAAAGGGAAGTTCAGAAGACAATAAACAGAAGTGTGACTGGCAAAGAATAGTAATATAGAAGAACAGAGCTTTACTGGATATAATAAATCACAAAGAGGGAACGCGTCTGAGCCAGCCGTCACTGACATCGATTTTGAGAGATATCATCAATAGTCTCCAGTGATTAGTTCTTACCATCCCGAGGAACCCAACCAGCCAAAAAGTCTACACCTTCCTACGTCGCTGACTTAAACGAACTGTTGTGAATTTCATTGACTGATAAAGCCATATTTTGGTTTGACAATCACTAGCGAACTCTTTTCTAGCCTGGTCCATCCTATGTCATCAGCTCACATGGGCCGTCGACGAACGCAATGACGGCAGGGCATACGCAGCACATGTCCCAACCATCTCAATTGGTGTAATTTCACAACCTCGTCGATTGATTTCCCCTCCTTATCTAGCACTCGACCGATGCCTCACTAACTCAGTAGTGCTCACCTTATAATGTCACTTAACACGGGAGATATGACACAGACACTTATGAAGAAAGACAGCCAGCTGGTCTCACTCACAGCCATGAAGAAAGACAGAGTAAAGTGGTGAGCAGTAAACACGCTCTTTGGTCGACAGCCAGACGGATATCACGTCTACAAAGCTACAGATGGTGCAAGTTGGCGTATGCCAAAAGAGGGTTCTGTATCCGTGCTGAAATTTCCTTAGTGATCATCCCGCTGGCGTTGGCTGATGCAACTTCCCAAATAAGTGAAGTAAGTGGTCAACACACTTTACCACTTCACTCCCTAATGTTAGGCTAGGAGTCAAAGTAGTCCAGTCCTGTAGCATCATATCACATCTGACGGTAGTGATAGTAGTTTATTAAGAAAAAATAATGATTTGTTAAGTAGACAAAATGATTAAGTGGTGAGAGGATTAATTATTTTGATATTTGATATTTACATCGTGTACCACTGGTCCAATAGTAGGATGCTCACTTACTACACAGGAAGTAAGGACCCGACTCCTACTAGTCGACGCACTTTTAAACCAAGGCTAGTTTAACAGCTAGGAATAAACTTGGGAAAGAGGGAAGATTGAGTGTGAGGCTAGCAGTCCCACTCAATGAAAACACCACCTGTCATAAAAACACTCGAAAAGCAAGGAATGAAAAAACAAGGATAATTCGATGAATGTTGGAAATGCGGATGGAAATAACATTTAATTATAAATAGTGTGTCATCTATAACATGAGAAGAATTCTATGTAGCTTTTAATGTGGAATTATATTCATACTACATACTGTACTAAAACTTAGCTGACTAGAACGATTTTACCCCTTAACATATGTGCATGACATATGATGATGTAGTTCCTAAAGATGAAAGACACATAGTCTAAAAACACTTCATCAAACGCATTTCTGTAAGTGCTAGCACCTGACAAATAAATGATTCCGCGAAAGATACCACGGAATCTGAAGTTTCACGGGTTACATAAAGTAAGGGAGAAAGATTCGTAATGAACAGGAATTGAATACTCAAAATTTCAGTGATAAAACGTTTAGGATTTCAGAGATGATAAAGCAGGGATACATTTACACCACTGTGAAGAAGTTTCCAAACATTGATTTTAAACGACCGACCGACCGACACTAACTTATCAACCTTAATCTCCTTGTAGGATTCAAATCAAAAGCCGCTAACGTTATAAATTCATGCCAAACTCTTTTCTAAATAAACATTACCAAAGCCAACACTGCTCATAGAAGGTTGTAGCTGAATATACGCAGTTCGTGTTCCAGTCACTTCAATTAATAAACACTTATTATTTCAGTGATCAGCATAATTTCCCCATCAAACACTCCACCCTCTAACCTACATTCATTATCAGCTTGATCTAACTAACAAAATTGTTAGAATAAATGTACCTTAGCTCAAACTTTAGTCTGTCTCAGCCTCTTCTTAATATCTATGTCTCACAACTTCACAGTAAAATGAGAACCGTTGCACAGTACAGAAGTTTTTGGTGAGTAGTCCGATATCTCCCGGAGCAATGGAAGACACGGATATAAAGATACGTTAAGCTGATTAACTTTTTGCAACAGTAGAAATGAATGATGCACGCGGGACACTGTGCGAAATGGTAGTAATTCAAGTTACCAGACTTCAGAAAACCATACATCAAAGTACAAGAAAAAATGTACAGAAAATTCAGAAGACGAAAATGTACGGAAGATAGAATAGTTAGATGAAGATTGATGAGAAGCTTCTGAATCTATAATGATAACAAGTAGTGAAGGCATTTGTGCAATTGCGAGAGATTTTGAACTGTCACCAATGACTTTCCATGTTTTTACCTAACTAACTTTCTTTTCCAGTTTGTTTTTATCAACTAAAACTATTCGTCAACAACGGCAGTGGCTCGGCATGCGCAACACCTTAGCTATATTGATAGCTGCAACGACACAGAATCATCGATCGACTTTCTCTTTTTATTTGACCTTCTATGGCTAACGTCATTATTAGCGACTATATAGCATCACCCAATAAAGGAAACTGAACGCACACATCTAAGGTCGAAAACCACAGGCGTAAATTAGTCCTGCAACTACACCTTACATTTGACAGGGAGGAATTACACGTCAAACATACTCAATTTCTTGCTGAAACTGTCCGGAAGACTGCATCTTGTCTGTGTCTTTAGCCAGAATCATATCATCTGTTTACTCTAGATCATCGCGATATTTCCTAGGTGAAAAGTTAATGTAAAGAACATAGAACTCAACAAGGGTTGCATCTGTTGGTACGTAAATATAATGCAACTAAATAAAAATGATGCTTGCCGCTCCCGATGAATACCAGTGGTTGTCATCAATTCAGGTGTAAATCAGCAGTAAGACCTTGCTACCCGAAAGTTGGAGACCACCGGGTGGACTACAGAGATAACTTGTTGGATAGAAAATCGCAGTGATACATTTGACGAAAGTGAAAGGTTCGATATTCACCTCGAATTGATGCTAGCCAAACGCAAGTTCAAATCACTTCAAAATGAGTTTTCCGTACTAATAAACGACTATAAGTAGGTTTCGACTACTAGTCTTTTATAGATGAAGCTACTAGACACCCTTAAAGTGTGACTATTTACGACAGGTCAGAGTAAATGGAGTTGACTATGAAGCTCACTAGTTTTAAATCAAGTGTGCAAACTGATAAACCATATCTTCCTAACTAAAAGAAAAGTGCTTTTCATTTCAAATTATTCAAGGAACCAGAACTCACTATATATATGTGGACGAGAATCCAGAAAAAATCGAATGGCGTATGAATCTATTTTGGTCACCAAGATCCATGGGAACACCGCTTTGGACGCTTCTCCACTGCCTTGACGGTCAGTTCTAAGGCTTGGAGATGTGCTGGCTGATTGAAACAATCAACTGTTCCGGTCTGGGCATTCGGGAGACACCCCAGACCTCGCGCAAACTTCGAGACGGTGTGGAGCATCTCTTGGTGTTCATAATATACCAAGTTTGTGCTTTAATGAAAATTACCCAATAGAATAAGGTAAGGCTGGGTTGTGTTAAACGTAGTCTGTCCCTATCCTTGATTAGTAATGTTTTCTTCAAGGAGACTACATCGGAAAATAGTTAGAATTCGTCACTCAGAATCTTCATGCACCAATTCGTGTAGCTGATAACTGTTGGACTGAGACACAAGGACATACAAGTTGCTTCATTAGTGTCTTTCGGTTGCTTAAAAATAATATTTGGAGGTTCCTCGTAAGATCACTGAAAACAGCTCAAGATGGTAAAAAATGTTTATACCTCATGGTCTTTGAAATTTTAAACACTAACAGATCTTTATAGAGTTATATCCTTTATTATGTCCACTTTTTTTATAAAGTATCGTCACCACTTGATGATGCATATATATTAATATTTAGCGTAATCAATTGTTTTCAGTGCCAACCCAGAAATTTTGAAGTGCAACGTACATAATGACCACCTATGAGACTCCTTAACTACTCGCTGACGACCTGGAAGATAAGACTAAATCCTTGAGCTTCTGTGCACACTTCTATATGGAAACTCAGTCACAACTAATTTCCTATTTAATAAAAGTTCGTGCTGCGGCTTTACTGAAATCCAATTCATTAATATTTGTATTTCCCATTCCTAAAGTCATAGATATTTAAGCAAGCTATCTAGTGGACGAAAAATTCACTATTTTCAAGGCCACCAATAACTCACTTCAACATTTTAAGAGATGAATGGCTTCTCCAGAAATATTGTTAGCTACTCTTGGTTTCAGCTCGTTCGCGTGTGAAGAACAGAAACGCAGGAGTCCTTTTCTTGATTTCAATATCTGAAATAAGGAAATTTATTAGAATCACCGTCTTATAGTAACACTAATAAAAAATTGAAGAAAGAGAACGTTAGCGCAGCACCCCTGTCATATAAGTATCCTTCAAAAACTACAGTGGACAGGCTATGGAAGCTCATTTTTGAGCATATTACTCCATGGATTATAAAGTCTCTACAATATGTCTGACGAAACCCGACGTTTCTGAGGTATACAGGAAACATTTCGCAAGATAGATCAAGTTCATAGAACTGAGAAACAACCTCCAGCAGTGTTTAGTCAACTTGGTCAATTCATAATCTAACTGACCGCATTAAATTATCATACAGTAAACATTTACACACTTCATATACAGAAACAAGCAATCACTCTCATTATCATTACTGAATAACCTAACTCAAGGCTATGGAAGTACTTGAGAAACATAAATAACGTTGAAAATTGAAACAGTTTTGAACTCAACGAGTATTAGCCAGAGATAAATTAAAATACAAGTAACAGAAACTACTGCACAAGCCCAATCCGACCTAGAGGTTGAAAAGAGTGGGAACTCACCGCCAACCTTGAAATGTGCAATATTTCTCTAGCCTGTATTTATGATCTGTTTTAGTTTCCTGGTGTATTCTCTTTATTTTCTCAAAAAGATTTTAGATTCTCAGAGATTTTTGACGCCGCAACCGCGCAAAATTTGAAAAAGGAGTGAATTTGACACCCTCTTTTTAGTTTTAGGTTTTATTGTGTTGTACGCTTCAAAAGTTTATTTTGACTGAAGTTAGATTAGATTTTAGTTTAAAGTCTATTAAATTATAAGAAGCTGTGTTCTCATAACCTAACAGTTACATATATATATATATCCATTTATGTGCACTAATTGGCTTTTTATCACTGATTTATAGAGGTTTTTCATATGTTAAATCATATTTAAATCGTTTTTCCGCAATTTTTTCTAAAAGAATTCGATCAAAAAACCGCTTTGGAAGGTTTATATACCTTTTTCTATTGGATGAAGGAATGCAGTGTGATAACTGCGAGAGCTGGTTTCATAGCGTGTGCATAAACCGAACTCCTGCAGCATTCAAACGCTGATGCAAACCTTCGGCAAACCGGTTGTGCAATGACTGCTGTAGTTTTACTAAATTTCTCATAATAGACACCATTGCTGCTCTTAGTGGGGCCATAAAGCTCATGGACCGCGGGTGTCTTCCACTACAATAGAAGGCCGACTACTGCTCAGACACTGACGACGTGATTAGCGTCATCGAAAAGTCAGTGTTTCTTCCCGAAGTGTCTCTGTCAATGAGTGAGTGCCTTTTAGCATCCACCATATTCCAGACGCCCAAGCTGCCCTCACGATACCGGACAGGCCCTTCAGTGACAGTAACGGAAAGACTGCCACGAAGAAGAGGTGTACCAAGGGTCGAAAACCTGCAGCTGAAGTCGCACAGGGACTGGTAGATCAAGCCTCGTCCATACCGGGGAACAGCAGGCAGATAAAACCAATGAATAGCGTGATGTAGTCTCTCGCAAACAGCGACCATATATCACTGCCAGGAATAAAGCTATTGCAGAAATATGCTAATCAAGGATGAAGTTCGAAGCACATCTGGCTCAAAATGCAGGGCGTTGATAAGGCATATCCCCTATTTGAGTTGGAGCTAGTCGTCCAAGAAAACGCAATAGGCGCGACTTCGGTGCTTATTTTGTTCTTGTTGGATGAATTTATATGAAAATTGTTGTTCGATGTTGTTCTAGAGCATTTACTGATTGCTTGTGGGACAGGAAGCTTAGGTATATGGTTCATGCAATGATTATTTGGCATACCGGGTAAGCTTCGCGTGCATTTCGACGACTGTCATTCGATAAATTTCTTTGCAGCTTGGTGGAAACCTGTACTCGGTAACAAATTTCCCCATCAGCTATTGTTCAGTAGCTATTACTGTTGCAGGAACCAAAGAATGTGGTCGATATCGAATTCTTGCATCCTTCCACACTTTTGTGTGGTGTTTTGGTAGCTGAAAGTCAATGGAATGCGTAGATACAAGCGGAAATTAGTGTTCACAAATGGGCAGAAACTGCAGTATGCTTTACAATCACTTATAATATTCACTGTTTTCTGCCAAAGTTTTTAAATGAGTTAAGTGCACACTGCAACGTTTTAGTAATTTGGTGGATTTGAATACTATCCTCGTGATCAGGTACACAAAGACATCTTAGGTGTACGTCATTTTGTCCCATTTTTGAGTTTGGTTTCATAAACTTCCGATTTTTGTCATTGCCCTGGCTCCATATTATATGAGTTTGTTCGAAGTTAATTCGCAAAATTATTTTGAAATCGCCTAGAAGTATTGTCCGACATCTCTTCAAGCCATGGACCGAAGGTTTAGGAGTGGTTGCTGTATCCATTTAGGACTCATCGATTTCTGCAAGTAAGGGCTACGCATCATATTCCTAAGTGCCTCTAGGAGCGAACGGAATCTTCATAAGCTATTAATGGTAAGAACAGGAAACCCAGCTCCTCTATTGCGAAACATCTTATGGAGACAGGACATAGAATTGACGTTGGTACATTTTTGAACCTATCAGTAAAACGTGTTTCGATTGCATCCTAAAGTTTGTGGAAGCCCAAGTGTAATTAGGAAGTTTAAACCACTTTTGTGAATTCCAAGACTATTTGTCATCACACGAAACCTTTGTTAAACTTCGTTTTGATACCAGTCAGGGTAGATGTACTGATGCCTCTGATATTTGGTTTAGTGAGCTTCATTGTTGTTTTGACTTTCAATATGTGATTTTAATTCCACCTAAGTTTATGTCTGACCTCTTGACTGCATTAATTTCATATGTATTCTTATGACAAGTCCATGCGTGACCAGATTGTCCAAAATATGTTGCACAAATACAACACTACATGATTCAGACAAATTATGTCTTCTTATTACTTCGTCTAAATATCCACTTGTGTCAAAAATAGTGACTGATGTAATCGCACATTGATATAAACTTTCATTAATTCTTACTGTTCTGTCTCGTTAATATTATATTGGTAGTTATATTCATGTATACATCCTGTGAACCCTTGTTTTCTTTTTTAGGTAATCTGTAGTTCCAGTAACCTCGTGGGATTCGTTGCTGAAGAAAGTGGTTTCCAGTACCGTTGAGTTTGTATTTTGTGTTGAATCACTAATAAATGTATTCTCTGTACCTCAAATAGACATTCTACTTGTTAATAGTCACAACTAACTTTATAGAATGTTTTGAGCTACAGAGTTAGGGTCATGTGTTGGATTGAATAGTGCGTTTAAAAAAACTTCCCCCCTGAGGTATATTGTTGCCAGTATGAAGTATATTCTCATTCTCATGATAAATCTGTTAGCAGTAATTATTATCAGTACCTATGTTTCGTAAGGATGACATATAACGAAACGTACTAATTCAGTAGTCAAAGGTTAGAACTATCGGTTGAAATTGAAACAGGTGTTCATGTAAGGGAAAACTGATTCATCGAAAGTTGAAACGTCACGTAGGTGATAAAGTTTACAGCATCGTCTACATGCGAATAGTCAAGGTTATTTATTTAGAAATGGTGGTAACTTGTTGATGGCTTAAGGGGTGTTTTGTTTGATAGGAAATAGGTGAGGTGTTAATATGTTCATATCTGGAAAATACTAAGGTTTGGAGTTGTTTTTTCTACTAACACAACATCAGGTGACTCACCAATTAGTCGCATCGTAAAACTAGATCTGTCAAAGACAGTCTACTCCTAACTTCTAGTTATCGTGAAGGATGAAATATACCCATAGGTTAATAGGATTAGACGCATGATGTCAATTAGAAACTAGGTAACTAAGCTTCGCAGCTACAGAAAACACCACGTTACAATCTATTCCTTTAATCGTGTCAATCAATGTGACATCAGTTAAGACTAGAGAATGAACGCAACTGGCGTTCACGAAATCCATTTGTGTTGCTTAATATAATGTACATTCCGTAATTATAGGCAAACTAGGAAACGCACCAAGTCATCACATATACGAACAGTAATTGAGCGCACAGGGTAGGGTAGATTTAAAGGAATGCCTACTCGATATGGTCCAGAGTTCATGTGAAGTGACACATGCCTACATCTGAAGGTGCATGTGTAAAGTATCGCATTTCATCAGCCTTTCGTCTAGGTGACTCAGTGGGTCGCCTCCAAATTTAACAAATGCTCAGTCCATGAATTCTACTTTTACCTGTTAAACACAAAGAATACCCTGCTGGAATATGGTGCTGTATTACACTAGAGTCCCTCACTTTACAGGTAAATCACACTTAATATCAGCATTGCCGCTTTTAGTTGAAAAAGTCATTCGACTGTGTCACATATGGCTGGATTCCTTTGTACCAATTATTATTCCATATGAGAGTGCATTGAAGAGACCCTGCAGGGTGATATTGTAGCTTCGCCGAAAATTGAATAGAAGCATTTCACTCATACAAGATGTATACAGTAAAGAATACACTATTAACTCACCGCGCTCAGCTCTACATATTACCCTATAAAACTCACTTGTTTGGAAATGAAACATGTTGTCAATGTAGTTGAAGATTGAACGATCAATTCATGGTTGTTCGCTCAAAACCAACTTCCCCAATTTTCGCGGAGGCATCAATACGACAGTCATCGTCTCATCGGTCGCTGTTCAGAAAGAAGTCAGCAGAAAACCGTCAGAAGTAATATTGTGATTTATTATTGTAATATTTGTTCACAGACCTTAGTCATACGTCATTTATATGTTGGTGTAACAATAAACAATCCTCGAGTCAACAATTGGTGTTTTGGTTTTTTCGTCTGTTATTACTAAGCGTTTCTGAGAAACTTCAAGCGACAGCGTGAGCCCGAGCGTAGCAAGAGCTGGGCAATAACGGTTTACGAGACGTGGCTGACAGTTTCTGACGGTAGAAACAGATTCTGGCGGATTCAGATAGCTGGTAACAGTTTGGATAGTCACCGTACATCTTTCCTGGTGCCGATCAAGTTCTCTTAGAACAAGCCATATCTGGAACATTTTTGGAATTGGTTCAAGTTCAACAATGCCTGGGTCAAAGAAGGGACAGAGTGTCTTGGATGCAAACAGGAAAGTAAGTCATGGTGACTTGTCTGTTAATTGTAACGATGTGTCTGATGTTAAGCATGACATCATTGATGTTACTGTTTCGCCGTTCAGGGATAATAGAAACATCAAACTCCCTAAATTTGAACCACGGTGTTTCGATGGAAACACAGCTGATTATTTACAATTTGTAAAGGAGTTTGAGATCATGTTGAGTAGTGTTCTATTAAATGATGAATTGAAATTGATGTATTTGACGAGGTATTGCACTGGAGATGCTTCAAGAGCTATACAGTGCTGTAAGCTCATGCCTCCTAATGAGGGATACGCTGAGGCTATGAGCATATTACGTCAAAGGTTTGGAAGACCTTCAATGATTGCAAGGAACGTATTTGAAACTGTCAAAGGTAACGGCAGTCAACTTCAAGATGACTCCAAGGCACTTACTGAGTGTT